TAGAGTGAAGGCAGGAGTGAACGGGCGAGAGAGAGCACGGTAATAAGTGAGCAAGTGAGTGAGTGAGTGGGTGACCGAGGGCAGGAGTAAATGAGCGAGAAAGAACACGTTAGTAAGTGATCAAGTAAGTGGGTGAACAAGGGAGGCAGGGAGTGAGGACTTGAGTATCCTGAGGGATACAGGAGCGGGTGACAGAGTGGATAAATGCACACATGCATCTTTAGGGAAACACAGGGTGGCACCCTGGGAAACCCCAGGGTGTCGAGGTCTGTGGACTTGGGTGTTCCTGTGGTGTATACGAGGCCCTCCCACAGGACGTGACTCCTATCCAGTTCACATTCTTGAAAAAGCAGAGTTCACAGTCTACATGCTTTGCGTCAAGTAAATGGGAGCCTTTCTGACGGCTGAGGTCCCTGGTCCCGCAGAAGAACAGCAGGTTATACTGGATCCTGCTGGGTCCCGAGCAGGTGCTGGGTCCTGAGAGCCCACAGCCCCCAATGGGTGTGCCTGCAGGTGTGTGGAGTCCCTAGTGTCAGTCCCACCCCACCCCCATCCTGTGGTTCCCACGTGGGCAGTGCTCCCACCCAGGAACTTCCTCTGAGCTGCCGGTGACTTCAAAGCAAGCCGTCCATATCAAGGAGGTGCAATGAAGCCCCTCCTGTGGCTGCTAAATGCCCGGCCACCTGTCAAGCAGAAGCTAGTCCTGGGCCTCAGTCCACACTTGTCTCAGTCACTAGGAAAGGGGACTGACGTCTACTGTCCCTGAAGAGCCCCCAGGAGAGTGGGCACTTCTCCCTATCAGGGGATGGGATGATGTTTCCTGCAAGAACGTCACTGCCACCAAGTGCTCTGACACTTGGCTTCAAGCATCAGTGCCTGCGTTCACAGGGGTGGGGGTGTCCGTCAGGAGGGGCATGGGGGTCCCTTCATCACGGTCGGTCAGCCCAGGTAGGGCCGGCTGTTGTCCGGCCGAGCCAAGGTGGAGGGGCCTCTGTCCTTAAAAGAGCTCACAGAGTGCAGAAGAGAGAAGTTGAAATCAGCCGATGGCCAGAAGGTCCCGCAGTGGAGGAGGAACAGGCTCAGCTTGGTGGGTGATGACCTGGGGGTGGGCGTCAGTGGGTGAAACCCCATGACCATGTATGGGGATCAAGCAGGTGAAGGAGTGAGGGAAAAGGAGGCAGTGGGTATTGCCCTGTGCAGTGAGGGGGCTGAAGGATTAAGAGTGGCCAGGCCAGCAGATCTCAGGGGCCACAGGAAAAAAGCCTCCGGGGATCACAGATAAAGGTCCCTTCACCAAAAACAACCCGCAGGTCAGCCAGGAAGGAGTTTCTGGGGAGGAGAAGCGCAGGCCTCTCAGCGCCCTGGCTCTGTGGCTCAGGATAGGTGTTCCACTGACACTAAATCCACGAATCAAAACAATGCCCTGCTTGGGGAAGCCACACAGCCAACAGAACTCGAGGGGAGCCTTCTAGAAAACCTACTCAGGGCTCTGATGGAGCCTTGGTCGTGCCATGCATTAAGCTTCCGGCTGCTAAAAGGTCAGTAGTTCAAACCCATCAACCACCCCTAAGTAGAAAGATGAGGCAGTCTCTAGCTGTAAAGATGACAGCACTTCTTAATAACATGGTAGAGAAAAGACTGATGCTAACAAATTCATCTTGCTTAGATGCGCAATCAACACTCTTGGCACCAGCAGTCAGGAAATCAAGACAAGTTACATTGGGGAAATCTGGTATCAAGAACCTCTCCAAAATGCCAAAGAGCAACACATTCAGTCTACAGACAAAGGCCATGGTCTTTTCCACTCTTCACTATTCACCTGAGACTGGACAATGACTAAGGATGCCAGAAGAAGAATCAATGCCTTTCAGTTGTGGTGCTGGAGAAAAGTATTGAACATACCATAAACTGACAAGAGAACAAACAGGATTTTTCAGGAAGAGGGTAAAACTAGGTTGATCCGTGGCAAGGATTTTGAAGCTTCTTCTCACACATGTTGGACATGCTGCCAGGAGGGACCAGTCCTTGGGGAAGGACATCATGCTTGGAGGGACGGCACAGGACCGAAGACCCTGGATGTGAGGAAATGACACAGTGACTGCAGCAGTGGCGTCAGGAGTGTCAGAGATGGTGACGCTGGCTCTGGACAGGGCAGGATTCAGAGCCGTCTGTTGTTCATAGAGTTGCTATGAGTCACAGTTGACTTGACAGAATGTAGCAACAACAATAAAATATTCACAGTAAATGATATGAAGTGATACCATCCTAACGTCAAAGAAGCATTCAAGCTGTACTTCTTCCAAAACATACTTGTTTGTTCTTCTAGTAGTTCACAGAGTATACAAATATTCTTCCCAAATATCACAATCAAAGGCGCTAATTCCTCTTCAGTCCATGCCTAACGTACCTTCAGAAGCCACATCTGAGGGTCTCTTTCCCCAGATGCTTGCCAGGACGTCTTCCAAACTTTTGGAATTTTGCTAATTTGACAGCTGATGAGTGGCCTGTCAGAATTGTGATCATTTGTGTTTCTTACTTGAGGAAGGCCGGGCGTCTTTCATAGGTTCATTCACTTCTCCTTTTTAAAGAACTGCTTATCGGCTTTGTCCCTTTTTTCTACTGTACTTTTGGGTTTTATTTTCTGTTGTTTTCTTCTAGATTTTAAGGCATAATTGTACAAGCCTTCTCCCACTCCAAGATTCCAAAAGTAGGTTTCAATGTTTCATCTGGTACTTAACAGTTTCATTTTACATTTAAATTTCATTGAAACATAAATCAAACCACCAGAAGCTTCTGTTTCAAATCCTCAGTGATTCCCTCTATGCTAAGGACAAAATCTAGACTCTTCTCTGTGGTCTTCACATCCCAACCCAGCGGCATCACTCTCCCCTGCTCCTACTCTTCGGCTTCTTAAACATGCCAGGCTCTCTTCGGCCTAGAGCCTCTTCCTAGTCGGGCCCCCCTGCCTGGAATGTCCATTCTCCACCTCCCCCAATATCAGATGGTCCCTCCTACCTGTCCAGTTCTAGCCACATGGGACTTTAGGCCTGTCCCTAATCACCCTTTTGAACACCGACCAACCTTACTCTGTTAAAGTTCCCTGATGCCCTATTTTCTTGGCATCATTTCTTTACCTAAATCTATAGGCTTAAGCACAGTGGAAATGGTGAGGGTGAAGCGTGACAGGGCAAGGTTTCGAGCTGCTGTTCACAGGCTTACCATGGATTGTAGTCGAATCAATAGTGCCTACAACAGCAGCATGGTGATTTGGTTTATTAATTTGTGCCCAAGTTTACAATCTCTCGTCTAACCGTAAACCTGTGAGGGCTTGTCCACTTCCATGACAGTACTAAGGCTCCTCTCCTGCTGATGAACTGCTCCCCAAGTCAGTGCACTTCACCCCAAAATGTCCTCTGCTCTGTCCCAGGCACTCTAACCAGAGCACTCTCATCTGTCACCAAGTGCCGGGCTTGGGGTTAAAGAGAGCAGGGCAGAGGCAGGCAGGGAGGACGTGAGCAGCAGTGAGCACTGAGCCCCTGGGAAGGGGTCTCCTACCCCAGGCTGCTCCTCACACAGTGTCATTTACACATAGGTAAACTGAGTCCTAGGAAGATGTGGCCCCAAGTCTGATCCCTCAGCTGTTGATTCTGGGAGCTCAATTCCCAGAAACATCAATGTTGTGGTTATGATACACCATCAAGTCAAAAACCAACTCGGAGCTAACTCTCCAGCAGGTGGATTCAAACCACATACCTTCCGGCTGGCAGTACAGTGCCTTACCATTAGGTCATCAGAGACAGTAATGTTGTTGTGTATCAGCCCATCGCTGACCCTCCAGTAGGTTTTCAGAGACAGTATATAACATGGGAAGAGAATGTTCACCTCTCTCCCAGGATCAGCTGGTAGATTCGAACCTCGTGCCTTTGGGTGCCTTACCACTAAGGCACCAGACACACCAATAGTAATTACTGAGCCCTGGGTCCAGGGGCATCAAGCCAGACCCTGGCAGTCACCTCTTGACTGTCCAGTAGAAACAGAATGCAAGGCACCACCCCCACTGCTGCTCAGCAGACTCAATTCATAGCGACCCTAACTCAGTATTTAAAAAAAAAAATAAATTATTTCTTGTGTGTGTGTACCGTCAAACCGGATCTGACTGGTACAGGAGGAGACTGCCCCTCCTTCTCCAGCAGAGCATCTGGTGGATTCAAACCATGTACCTCTGGGATTGCAGTGCAGCTTCTTACCACTAGGCCACCAGAGCTCTCCTCACTATTTTTTCTTTTTTTAAACTCATTATTTTCTAGTAACCAGCTGCTCTGCAGGAGAAAAGGCGAGGCAAACTGTTTTCATAAAGATCTAAAGTCTTGGAAATACTGTCGCTATAAGTCGGAATCCACAAGACAGCAACAGATTATGGATGCGTAATGGAAATAGAAGGAATTGGTTCAATTCACAAGACATATTTTATTTAATAAAGATTATCATTTCAACCTGTAATGGATACAAGCCATACTCATGAACTGTGTGACATCCTTTTTGGAATTCTTGCAAGTCCAGTGTGTCTTTTGCACTTCTGACACATCTCAATTCAGACTCAGGACTTTTCACGTCCGAGGTAAACCACCTGTTTACTCCCAGAGGGGCACCCATTCCTCGTCTCCCCTGGCTGCAGGGAGATCCTGCCTAGTCCAGCTGTCCACCTGTCAGGTGAGAAGGGGCGGGGCTAGAGCACTCATCGGCCTCGTTGTAGGCCTCGCCCTCTGACACTGACCAGTCCCTCCTCGACGCCGACCTGGACCACCGGCCCCAGACAGCTGGACACGGGCCCCCCAGGACCCCAGGTCAGCCCTCAAGCCCGGAGGCGGGGAGGGCGGGGCTAACGCGCAGCCCCGCCCCCGGAGGTGCAGGCCCCGCCCCCGGCCCCGGGTACCCCGTCAGCCGTCGGACGCCGCAGAGGGGTCGACGTGCGTGCGCGCCCACTGACCTCACCCACTGACCTCGCCACCGCGTCCACCGAGCCCGCGATGGGCGTGCCGCCGCCCGCGCCGCCGTCGTACAGCACGCCCGAGATGTCCAGCAGCACGCCGCGCACGCCGGCCAGCCGCTCCTGCCACCCGGCCATCCTGCCTGCCGCCTGCACGCCGGACTCCCTGCCCCGTGACGCCGGCAAGCCGCGGTGACGACAGCCGCGCAGGGGCGCCTGGGAAATGTAGTCCACGACCCACGAAGGCCGGAGTGCAGGCGGGGTGAGCATCCGCAGACACGTGGTCCTGGAATGTGGTCCTGTTAAAACCAGCGTTCTCCCTGGACATCAGAGGTCAGGGCAGGTCAAGCAGAAATCCGGCCTGGGAAGTCAGAGCAAGGCCAGCTGAGTCCAGGACGCACTTGTGGGGTTTTGGTTTGGTTTTTTGGGGGGTGGGGAGGTGGTTTTCTTAAAATTACTAATTTTAATGAAAAATTTTTAAACTTTTTTTATTATTAATTTCTATAAAAATTTCCAGAGACTTTGGATTTCCATTCATTCATTGTTGCACTTTTCTCCCCTCCCAGCCCAACCCCCTAGTACACTACCCTCTTGTAAAAATAAAACAAAAATTCTTTCATTGTTTTACAAACCCTCCCCCAGGTCCACTCCAGTAACCTTAGCTCTAGATACCTGTCATGACAAAAATACCTAATCACACACAAAAAATATATATATACCTAATCATATATCTCATTTAAACAGTTTTCTCTCTCATCTGTTTCAATGCAGTATACATTGTTGAACCCATCTTTCTCAGTCTCCCTCCAACCCCGATGTCAGTCCTGTTTTACAACAG